ATTTTATTTATGCCAACTTTCAATAAAGTAGAATAGTAAATAGATTATTATTACGGAGTATTTAATAGAAAATAGATTATTAAAATGAATTTTTTTAACATTAATAGAGTATTTAATACACTCAAATTCAGTGTAAGTACGTTAATGTTGTGTCAAAGAAACATATTTGTGCAACATTGCAAAATTACATAATAAAAGAAGTCCATTTTATATTTTTATTTATATCAATTTTTTCATTTTATTTCGTAATTACATGATAAAATATTGTGCGGTTGGATTATTTGTGCTTGCCTGATTCATGCGTTACACTAAACTACTTTTGGAAACAGAATTTAAAAATACTGCGTTAGTTCCTTCCGCTTCAAGTAATTATTGTTGTTCTCCTTCTCCTAGTTTGATTAGGTTTTAAGTAGCAAAATTTGTACTCTTTATAAAGGACTCACTACTTGGATTGACACTATAGCTCATATCCTCTTACTTCACTGATAATTCGTCCCCTACAACAATGGCTGTCACTCTCCATAACGTTGTTTTTCACGGTTCGAGTCTTAATGTCACTGTCACCAAGTGCGCCTCCGAAGTCGACCGTTGGATTACCGCCACTGTCTGCTACTACCGCCGAGGCGTTGGACTCTCCAACCTCCTCGTTGGCCTCGACATCGAGTGGCACCCTTGCAAGCCATGGGAGACCAACCCCGTCGCCACACTCCAGTTGTGCATTGGGAAAAATTGCTTGATTTTTCAAATTCTGAAGAGGGACTTCATGCCTTGTGCCCTACGCCTCTTCCTCCGCGACCCCTTCGTCACCTTCGTGTTGCGTTGGCGTTCAAGAAGACGCCGAAAAGCTCTTCCGCGATTACGGGCTCGTCGTGACTAGAGTTATGGATCTGCGACCCATGGCGGCGAGCGTTTACCGCTCCGAGGTGTTTCTGAAGATAGGATTGAAGAAGATGGCGATGCAAGTTTTGGGGGCGGCGATGGAGAAGCCGCTCTCCGTCACATTGAGCGATTGGGACACCGAAGAGCTGAGCTTCGAACAGATTGAATACGGAGCGATCGACGCATTTGTGTCGTTTCTGATCGGGGTGAGACTACTCACGGCGGCGGGAAGGCTTCCGATGAGCCGAAGGCAATTTGGGCGATCAATTATTCCGACTCCACTCTGCCCAATTTCACCCTGTTGCTAGATCGAGTTATATGTTTAGTGGCTTTTAAGACTTAATTATTGGTTTAAGATTTTTACTCGTATTATTGAAAAAAAATTGCTGAAAATTCCAATTACTGTAGTGAAGTGCAACATTGTACGGGATCTAATCTTGAATTGCAATTTTTAGTGGATTACGGAGTAATATTTTAGTAAATCAATGTTGTTTTTTTCGTGTCATAACGTATGGAATAAATCATTAGCTCAAAGATAAAATTAAAGTGTGCGGAGTAGTTTTAAAGAAGTATTTTACTCCCTCTGTCCCAATTTATTTGCAACACTTGTGCAAAATATCATCTCTTTTAAAAATTACTTTAATTTCAAATTGGTAAAGTAATAAAAAGTAAAAATTACATTATTCAAAAGTATATGAAAAGTTCTGCAAAACAAGATGCGACAAGAATATTTTATTTTATCAAATGGTCAACCAAAACGAGAGGCCGGAATAGTAAACATGACATTCTTTCTGGGACACGGAGAGAGTATCATTTGAGAAGTAATAAAACGGTCAAAACAAAATTGAAAAAGTGACACTCTTTTGTTTAAAAATGTGAAAGATTTGAGTGAAGTGATTTCACATTTTTTTTCAAAGTTTGTGTGTGTGAGATTTATACTATTATGTATGTATTTTGTATAAATTTTTACCATACATATTTATGATGGTTCTGTAGACTCAATCTCAAATATTCACAAGATTTTATAAAAAGAATGTATATTAAAAGAACCTTGCTACACTTACACCAACAAATATACCCCATTTGTACATCACAGGTTTGCACAAACATTTCGATGGTTTACACCGACACATGTGTTGGTTCGTTAATAAAAATTCACACGGACACAAATGTTGGTGCGTTTAACAAAAATTAGTTTTACACCAACACAAAATGTTGGTGCAAAACTGCGGGGTAAAAATCTTGGGGTACACATAGCATAATCCATATTAAAAATAACAGTATGTCTAGTGAAAAGTAAAAAAATACGCAGTTAAAATTTAGAGGATTAAATGCTTAGAGCATCAACAATGGCAAGACAAAAATGGAATGTCAGATGGTGACATGGAACATTTTAACCAATAAAAAATTGTCCAGTGAGTGTGTGGCAAGCGATTGGAATGGCAAGCTCTACAGTGGCAAGTCATTATTTTTATCACTTTTTTTTATATTTTTTTATGTTTTTTAAACATAAAAAAAATATTTTCTTCTTTCTTATACATTCTTTTCTTAACAGAATTTTAAAAAAAATTTAAAAAAAGAAGGGTGGAGTGCCACACTCATGTCTCACCAAGCAAGGTATTTTGACCTTGTCATACTATGATATGAGTGGAAAGAATGGATGTGGCAGTACAAAACATTCCACTTCCTTACCACTACACATGCTCTAATTATGTTTTGAAAACATATGAGATACTGGTGTCATTTGTTCAAACGTCAAAGGTATAGAGATATTTGACTTTTGAGTTTTTATGATTTTACTACTTCAAGCTAAGCATCAATGTCATGTGAGCATGATCACCAGGTGATAATCGTGCCAAGTCATTCATGGGGCATTTCGCCCACCCCTACTGCATACATCCATTGCTACAAAGCATTCCTCAAAATTCGTGTCTCTCTCAAGAATGTTGTATACTCCGTATTTTTTAAATCTATTTCATGATAGGTTTCGAAAATATTTTTCACTATATAGTGTAATGGCACAATTAGTATATATAATGTAAATTAATATTTTAAATTACAATAGTTGAATGAAAAATGAAAAAGACTGAAGTAATAAAAATAAGAAGGTATACTTTACAAAATTCGCACGCAAAATGTATCTAGACTTATTTTTTTATATAGATATTTTCAAATATTCATCCCAATTATCAGAAATTGCACTATAAGCTAGTTGACGAATACATAGAGGATGTAAACTTTTACAAACGCGTATAGTAAATCCGAGTCTATCTCTACCTTCATAATGTTGTTGGACATATATATAGATATTTGGATTGTACAAAATAGACATCGACTCACTCGAAAAAGCAAAGCATGTCACGACTTGTCATATGTTGGCTCGACAACACATATTCTTTCATAAGACACTCATTCATAGCCAAACGATCTCGACAAATCGGGATTCATCTCTTAACAACTGTTTTGTTCTCAATAAGAACCGAAATAGTTTGGATTGAGATTTACACTACTGCTTCTATAAATATTTCATCCTCACTAGATGGATTGAAAAAAAGAGTGCAAAATTTTCTATCTTTGGGAGTGCATAGAAAAATATAATAAAGGTGTGAAAAAAATCAGAGAGATAAAATAAGAGTACGTCATGATACAGGCTTGATAACTTTGGTAGCTTGGACATGTAAATGTGTTGTTATTAGGCTTTCGTGTTAACGAGGTGTTAGAGTACTATTCTTTCTGTAGTAAGTGTCAGATTATTATCTAATGTTTTCATTTATTTAATGTATTTATTTAAATTAAATTATTAAATGTAAATGAAATGTTATAAAACTAATTAATATTAAAAAAAGGAATAAGGATGGAATGAAGATGACACCCCTGAATGGTTAAATTTATTCTAATTGATGTGATTTGTTTTAATTGACAACCCCTTTTTTGTTAGATTTATTTTAATTGATGTGAACCTAAATACTCCATATTCATTAAGTTATACTCCCTCCGTCCTGAAATGTTCTTTCCACTTATTATTCACACGGTCAAACTTTAATCACTTTCTTTACATATTTTCATTAGGTATTTGATAAAATAATACTCCCTCCGTCTTATAATGATCTTCTCGGTTCGCAAAACGAAGAAAAATCCCAAGTTTTTTCAATCTATTTTATTTAAATATTGGTATAGAAATAAAAAATAAAACATACATATTTAAAAACTACATCAAAAGTTCAACAAAACAAGTGGTGACAAGAATATTTTGTTTTATCATATAGGCCATGAAAAAACACAAATAAATATAAATTCCCGTGAAGTTGGAATAGTGCTCTGGGAAGATCATTATAGGACGGAGGGAGTATATTCTTGTCACCACTTGTTTTGTATTCCCTCCGTCCCAGAGTGTTTGTCCACTTTCATTTTTGCACACCATCCAATGCACTTCTTTAATAATCTATATGTTAAGACGAATCAAACAAGATCAAACATGACTATTTTTAGGCTTACACATTGAGAGAATTTGATGAGTCAAAGTACTTAGATGAACAGTTTCAAAAGTCAAAAGTGGACAAAGACTCAGGGACGGACCAAGTAGAACTTTTGATGTAGTTTTTAAATATATAAATTTTATTTTTTAATATTACACCTACAATCAAATAAATTGAATTAAAAATAAAGTCGGTCAAACTTCGTAAACATAACTGGAAAAAACATTATAGGACGGAGGGAGTAAGTAAAATATAGACTCTACTAGTCTACTCCGTAGACTACTCTTTGTCCTAAAATTAATTTCTTATTTGATTTTTCAAAGTCTTCACTTTGATTATTAATATCTCTATTTATATATAAATATATATCATGAAAATAAAATTTTTCAAAAACTTACTAAATTTATAAGAAAATAATTAAATGTATTTTTTTTATAACATATAGACCAAAGTCAAAATGTTTGACAATAAAAGTCAAAGTAGAAAATGAATTTCAAGAGCAGTACAAAAATCGGAAGAAGTAGGGATAAACGGAATTATTAATGGAATCAAAGCAGCAAAAAAAGAGATGGATGTTTTATTAGGTTTCCGGCCTACTCGCCGTAAACACGTCTCAATACTTTCTTTACGAACTCTCTGAGAAGAGAAATTGAGGAAATGGGAGGAAGAAAGCTATACAGGCGGCGGTGCTTTGGGGAGGGTTTCCAACTGGGCTCCAAATTATACGGCTGAAAGAGGCTTGGCGAGGAAAGATGATAGCGTGCGGGAGCATTTTGAATTGGGCAAACAGAGGATTATTGCCCGGTAACACCTTTTCACTTCACATTCTCTTCCATTTCTCTGCTTTTCACAATGAACCGCATAGTAGAAAATCAGGGCTCAAAAGTAGCAAGAAGCTTGATGATGATCTTGTTCTGTACCGTCGCATGGTCCGGATGGAACCCCGCCCTAAAATCATCCAGTTCAACCAAATCTTGAATGGCATTGTGAAGACGGGCCGCTACAGTGACGTCGTCTCTCTGTTCAGAGACATTTTTGCTTCTGGCATTGGGGTGGACCAGTACACGCTGGGCATTGTTGCCAACTCTCTCATCCATTTGCACCAAGTAGATTTGGGTTTTGCTGTCTTGGGCACCCACTTGAAGCTCGGCCTTGTGCCCAATGTCATTTTGTTCAACACCTTACTCAAAGGGTTGTTCCTTCAAGGCCGGGTTCGAGATGCTATTTGGCTGTTCCAGAAGCTATTGGATGAGAAAGTGTGCGAGCTAAGTGATGTCACATTTCTGGCACTAGTCGATGGCCTCTGCAAGGCGGGACACACCAGCGAGGCTACCAAGTTGCTTCATTTGTTTGACGAGAAAGGAAACTGCAAGCCAAATGTACGTGCATATAGCGCTGCTATTGATTCATTGTGCAAGGATAAAATGGTGGACGATGCCCTTGTCCTGTTAGCCAAGATGACTGAAAAGGGCATTCATCCCAATGTTGTGACCTATAGCTCCCTAATTCGCGGACTCTGTGCATTCAGTCGATGGGACGAGGTCAAGGAGTTAGTGAAGAGAATGATGCACTATAATATTCCTCCCAATGTCCATACATACAACATATTAGTTGATAGGTTTTGCAAGGAAGGATGGGTCAGTGAGGCTGAAAAAATCATAGATGCAATGATTCAAGAAGGTGTAGATCCCGACGTAATCACGTATAATGCTTTGATGGATGGGTACTGCATAAAAGGAAAGATAGACAGTGCATTGGAAGTTTTAAAGAACATGATACAGAGGGGATGCGAACCTAATATTTGGACTTACTCTATATTGATAAATGGGTATTGCAAGAGTGAGTGTTTAGATAAGGGCATGCAATTGTTTGAAATAATCCCTAGCCTTGGTCTAAAGCCAACGTTGGTTACCTACAACCATATGTTGGAGGGTTTATTTCGAGCAGGGAGATGTGATGACGCTGAGAAGCTTTTTAACAAGATGGTAGAAAATAGAGAATATCCAAATCTTGTCACCTACAATATTATTTTGGATGGCTTCTGCAAGAACCATTGTGTTGCTCAAGCACTCTCTTTACTGAGGATGATGGAAGTTAAAGGTCCTATCCCCGACATAGTTAGCTATACTACCATCATACATGGACTTTTCAATGATGGAAAGTCATGCACTGCGATAGAACTATTCAATTGCCTTCCATCTAAAGGTCTGCGGCCAGATATGATAAGTTATGTAACTATGATAAGGGGACTTTGCCAAGAAGGCTTGCTAGAAGATGCAAAAGATATGCTCAAGGAAATGGAGAAAAATGGTGTTGTTCCAGATAGTGTGGTATACAATGAACTGATCTATGGGTTAATGAAAAAGAATGAGCACTGTGATGCTTTATTACTTTTGGAGGAGATGTCAAGACTTGGATTCTCACCTGACAAAAGAACTTGTGAAATTTCACTCGAGTCAATCATACAACAAGGACCGGATTCCACTCTGCTGCATATGCTTCTGAACATCAAAGAGAATGATTAAATACCCATATCTTGGATCTTTTTCTAAACCAAATTGTACTCTGTATCATTCTCTGTTTAGGAATCTTGAATCTTTTTCTGGACCAAATTGTATATTCTAATTTACTTAAAACCGAAAAATGACTAAACTACAGTTACCTCCTCCAACTTAATTAATAGAGTTTAAAACTGCTTCAACAGTAATTGTTGCAGTTGAGTGTATCATGTGATGATTGCTCTGAGGTAGTGAGGTGCTATACTTTCAAAAGATTTTCTTACCCTGGTAAGGACTTAATGTAGTGTTGAATTTTAGTAGAACAGAACCAAGTCTACTGTTCTTGGATTCGGACCTTCGAACTTATGCTTTGTTCTGTATTTTATGAACTACACAAATATTCATATCCTTGGCGTTGGGGTTTTTTTTAACCTTACAATGCAAGGGGTTAGTATTGGAGAAGAGACGATGTATTACAGATATTCAAGAAACAATGAGCGATAATAACTTTCTTGAATGTAACCACTGCAGAACGGTGTAACGGGTTTGATGCTTGATATGTATGATCTGAACAATGATATTTGGTTTTGCCATTCTTTTGGAGGAAAATGCATGCCAAAACTACACTGCTCTTGTAAGTATACAATAACCCACATTTGGGGCTTTTGTAAGTATGTTTAATATAAAAGTGGTGCATGATCAACCTGAAATAGCATTATCACCATACACACATTCACACATACATATAGTATTAGGTACTGCTAATCCCATCAGTTTGATATATGTTGCAATTGATGGTTTTTATGTTGGACTTCTTTGCTCTGCAGTTTATTTACTTTATTATACCTTTAGCCCGTGGCACATTATCGGATGGGCAGAGCGTGGCTGCTTAGCCTCAATACGTCTCTTGATTTGGCTTTTTAACGGTAAGCAGTGTTTCATTTAGGTTCATATATTTTCCAAAATGGTATATGAAGATTTTGCATTTTGTCTGTTTTATGCGAGGGATAATCTGTACATAATTCGTTAGGATATAAAGTAGCCTAACAGGATGCTCTCCTTTTCATTATTATTTTTTTCATTTTCATTTTCAAGATTATATATGTTCAACATTATCATCATCCCTTAATTCTGGCATCCCCTACACAGGAACATATAGGACATGCTAAGATGAAAGAGAAGTCTTGTGAGTCACATGTATGTTACTACTAAAAAAGAAAATTAAATAACAAGCGTTTTTTTAGATATGTATAAAAAGATTAAAAGGGCAAAGTTTTTGGGAGGTGCACAAATAGTAAGGGCCTGTTTGGTAAGTTTTGGAGATATGATAAAATATGGGTTTTGAAATCTCAGAGAAATGATATGACTTTGGAAATTTGAATGAAAAGCGTTTGGAGAAAACAAATACTCCAAACACAATAATGTTCACCAAAGTATTACAAAATAATGTTCACCAAAGTATTACAAAATAAGATCTACCATATAAATTCATATACTCACTTCATCTAAAAAAATATCTTTTCTTTAGAGAGATTAAGAAAAATGTAAAAAAATATTTTAAAAATATTAAATTATGAAAATAAAATGATTAAAACTGTTGAGAAAAGAAAAATTTTGAACAAATGCACACAATTTTTATTCACCACATCAACTAAAACGAGTACAAATCAAGCAACCACAGCAAGGCTAAACAAGCATCCCTAGCTTAGCCATACCTTTTTTAACTTAGCATTAATATAAACTCTAACATGATCCCTAATCCAAACACTACATTCGTCAGGGGGTATAATATTATTCTGCTTAATTTTGGAGTTACGAGCATGCCATATCGCATAGCATACTGCTGCAAATCCAGCTTCTACCGTTTGTCTTTGCAGCCTTCCCTTGATCATCTTGACTTCCTCCAGCATTTCTTCATTGGTTTTCGCCCTCCATTGGTGTTGCAACCACTTGCCAACAATACTCTGGACACATTTTGTATAAGCACACTCATAGAATAAATGCTGCTGATCTTCAATCCCACTTTCACAAAACACACAGGTTGTGTCCATCTCCATATGTTTGTTCAATCTGTCTTTCGTAGGTACTCTGTTTTTCCAACACAACAATTGGAAGAATTGATGTTTAGGAATAGAGAGCTTATTCCATACCGTTTGATATGCCCTAAACATATTGCAATCCCCCATGAGCCAATCATACCCTTGAGAAAAGAAAAATTGGATAAAAATATTTTTTAAAACAAAAAGGAAAAAAGAAAAAAAATAAATAAAAACACCAAGAAACAAATTGGCATACACATTAATTGAAGCCTCCGTTGTGATTATTTGGAATCAGAAATCGGCATTGTCTAGCCGATTTGGAGTAACCAAAATCTTATAATTTTAATAATATGTTAAATATAGTAATTTGCAATATTACTTGAGTCTTTTTTTGAATGCTAAATCTTATAAATGTAATAAAATGTCAAATATAGTAATATGAGATATTACTTGCCTTTTAAATGAATTTTTTCTTAAATTATTGAATTTTAGAGTCAATTTAATGGAAAAAATTGATACCCCTGAAATTTTATCACAAAATGTTTGAATATAATTCAAGGAGTGTGTCATACACCACCCACATTTATGTTTAAATACACACGTGCTCGAAGAGGATCAATATTGTGATAAAAAAAGGATAGGATCAATATTTAAACTTCATCTTTTGGTCTTTTTTTACGTATTGTTGGTAGGAGCATCCAACTTTTCCATAAGAATTGGAACAAAGAAAAACCAACTTGACGAGAGATGGACACAATCAACTAGAGATGCAAGAGAAAGGAGAAAAAGAAATACTTCGAGAAAAAAAGACATAAAAAGGTAGGTATTTTTATGATTGTTATTTTATTTTACCAATTCAACATGCATCTGTAAAAAACATAAACATTAGGTTTCATAAAGTTTATGTGTAATTAAAGTGTAAAATTGTTGTTTTAGACGTTTTATGCATCCGTCTTTTTTATATGGTATCCTAATGCAAATGTATTAGAATTTTTGTAATAACTAAATCAAACAAAACATGTTGGTGACTATAATTTCTCTTTGATTCTCGAGTCAACAAACACTATTAATAGGCCGCCTGCAATATGTGCCAACATGAACTATAGAGTTATAATACTTGAGAGTACTTTTAACAGTCCAACATGGATGTTCAAGCTCTCAAAGTTTGAAGACAGTTAACAATGATGTACATGACATATTCAAGGATGCATGGAAAGGATTGAGATTACTAGCAATGATTAAAATTTTATTGAAGGCATAAAAGATGTTGTAGAGCTAGGATCCGAGAGTCAGCTAACAAAATTCTTTGTGACATTAGTAACAAATACCATGAGCCACTCTCAAGTTGTTTGGTAATAGTCATGGAAGCACTTAGTTGACGGAGTTTATTTGACCGAAGAAGAATATTGCATTATCAATGTATTTTTATAAAAAGATAGTTTTCATTTTTTTAAAATAAATATCAATATGAAATGCACGGTCGGTGCATATACAAAGCTCTAGAATTGGGGTATGAGTACAATAAATTTAGTCATATTTTAATTATTTTTTGCAGAACTTTTTTTTGAAGGCAACACAAACTTCATTAATGAATTAAAAGATGAGAAACAAAGTCGGGGGGGGGGGGGGGNGAAGAATATTGCATTATCAATGTATTTTTATAAAAAGATAGTTTCATTTTTTTTAATAAATATCAATATGAAATGCATGGTTGGTGCATATACAAAACTCTAGAATTGAGATATGAGTACAATAAATTTAGTCATATTTTAACTATTTTTTGCAGAACTTTTTTTGTTGTTGAAGGCAACACAAACTTCATTAATGAATTAAAAGATGAGAAACAAAGTCTGGGGGGATGAAAACCACGAGCATGGCTGAGAGCTCGCTCTACGTGCAAGCATATGAGCGATACAATTAGCTTCCTGAGGAACATGAGATATCTTAAACGAATGAAACTCCCCTAAAAGAGTCTTACAATCCCCCAATAAAGATCCTAGGCAAGAGCGAACCTGAGAACTTCCATCTCGAAGTGCTTCCACTACTCTGCTACAATCAGATAGGAGCTCCACGTCTTGGATTCCATTTTCCTTCACCCACATAAGTGCCTCTCGACAAGCCATTGCCTCCGCTAACACCGGGTCAGGAGCACACTGTATCCATCCATTCACAGCCGCATGAAAGGATCCAACCCCATTTAGGATAACACTTCCAAAAGACACCACCCCGGAAGAAGGAAAAATGGCTGCATCCACAAAACATCGAAAAATATCTTACCTTGAACCCGAGCTATTCTGCCTCACCTCAGTCCTTCCACCTTGAGAGGATCTACTAGCCCCATCACGAACAGTTCCTCTAACCCAACTTACCACAGTTTCTGGCAAAGGAACATTGTGTTCCCACATTTTTTGCAGAACTTATTTCCCCAGAAGATGTAAAGAATTTGTGATTGATTTAAATTGAAAAGTTACCTAATTCAAATGGACGACCTTTAAAGGAGTTTAGTGGTATGTCATTCCGAGATGACAATCCACTTCATAGATTTCAAAATAATTTCTTGGTAGAGGAGTTAAGCTATGACAAATAAAAGTTATTATCTGATTTTAGCTGATATTAATCTATAATGAATGAAAACCAGTGGAAGATAGGGAAAAGGGCTAAAATACGAGTAAAACATTGAAAATATAGTAAAATAATAGTTTCATGTTTTTATTCCGAAATAGGAGTTAAAATGTATTTACGGCACCAATCATGACCATGTACATTATGTAAAATGCACATGTACAATGTCATATTACCACAGTGCAAACTCTTATTAAGAGAATAAAAACACAGAATTCTTATTTTGGTACTTTTTGTATGTTTTAGTCCTATTTAAAGTAATTTTTTAGAAGATATATGATGAGATAATGGAAGTGGTGATAGCGAAAGAGGATTTTTTTAATATGGTTACGGGAGAACTGGAAGAAATTTCCTTCAAAATTATTATCTGCTTCTCTATGATCGGATGGTAAGATTGTTTTAATGTTGCATCAAATGGCATTGCAATATTGTTATTGCCTGGTTGAAGGACAAAACACGCAAGACTGTGAATCCCTTTTGCGCTAACTCGGTGCTCAAGATGTACCACCAAACAAGGTAGTGTCAAAGTAGAATTATTCCAACAAGCAAGTCTAATGATATGTGATGAAGCATGTACGATGAATGAATATGATTTTGAGGCATTGGATTATACACAATGAGAGATGTCATGTGGTTCTCTAATAGTAATTCCAAAAATGGACCATTCCGGGAGAAAATAGGTGTACTCGGAGTTGACTTTTTCTAGATTCTTCCAGTTTTACTCAAAGCTTCAAGAGAAGAAATTGTAGGTGCTACGGTCAAATCTTTAAGATTATGGTCGATTTGTAAAGTTTTTATGTTGATAAAAAATATGACACTGCGTTCATCTACTTCTTCTGCATTCATCTAAAAACATATTAAATATATTTTCATAAAGTCAAATTAAAATATTGCATTGAAGATAATTTACAGAGGTGTCAAGAATTTCGTCTAACCCCGTGCGTTGCACGGATTAAAATACTAAGTAATTCATATAAGCAAGCCCAAAATTAATAGAGGAATATAGGTCCCAAAGTTTATGACAAATTATGTTACTAAATAATTCACAAGTTTTTTTAAGACCAAAACATGTGTTCACATTGTCATTGTTACAGTGACACCTTCACTACATTATCACATTGTACCTACCACACTATCACCACCTCACTGTCATCTGTCGTCGCCAACCACTAGAGTGTCGTTGTAGATTGCTGATGGTTGACCGAGCACACTGACATATATTACACTGTCATCACTTTTCTATCAAACAGTCAACGCGTATTCTTACATCACATAGCCATTATACTCCTGTTTGGTCTTAAAAGACATAGGACTCCTATTTTGGTGCTTTCAAACTTTTTTACTCCTATCCAGGGAGATTTTGGTAATTTTTAAAAGGAAGCCCAAATTTAATGGAGGAATATAGATCCTATAATTTATGAGTAATTGCGTTACCATTAATTCATATAAGGAAGCCCAACATTAGGAGGAATATAGGTACTTATTACCTTGAGTAAGGCCATGTTCCGTTCAACTTATTTTTTCTTATTTTTATTAAAATCAGATCAAATCAGACCAGACCAGATCAGATTGAATCAAATCAAATCAGATTAGATCAGATCCAATCAGATCAGACGAGATCTGATCAGATCCCATCAAGAATTATTATTATTATTATTATTATTATTATTATTCTTATTCTTATTCTTTAAAATGAAAAATAATAAACTTTAGAAACAAGTTAAATAGAAAAATTATTTTTTAAAATACTTTGACAATGTCTATTTAATTATACGTTTAAAATATATTTTTATTGCTACTTGCAGTTTGAGTTTCTAGAGTTTTGATCTTTTATAAGGATGAGATATTTTAATAAAATATTATCTCTTCTATATATTGATTATCTAAATTTAATTTCTTTTTAATGTATATATAAATGAAATATTTATTCTAATGTATATATAAAGTAATTATTAAAATATTAAATTAATATTCTAATTTCACAAAAAAATAATCATAAAATAAAAAATATTATTACATTATAATATGAATGATTATTCTAATATATGAATTAACTAATTTTATTTTATTAAAAAATAATCATAAAATAAAAAAATATTGATTATATTATAATATTAAGTATCATTACAATTTTCAAACGTTATTATAAAGTCAAATCATATTGTTGATTTGAATTTTAAATCAAATTATGATTAATCAGATAAGATCACACCATATCAGATCATATCCAATCAGAGCCAATCAGATTAGATCAGATTCAATCAGATCATACCAGATCAGATCAGATCGAATCAGATCAGATCAGATCCAATAATATCAGACCAGATCAAATCAAATCCAATCAGATCATATCATATCAAATTAGATCCAATCAGATCAGAAAAAATAAGTTGACCAGAACGGAGCCTAAGTACCTATATTAATTCTTATTATTATTATTATTATTTATTGTTATTATTTATTATTATTATATTGTTATTCGTTTTACACACTTATAATTTAAAATTCAGGTTGTTTTGAAAATTTACCATTTATATTGCAAAATCATGAGCGGGCAATCCACAGTCAAAACTTTCCCTCCTCTTAAATTAAGGATTGATTCGAAATATGCGTAAAGAAAAGACCTCAAATAGGAATAAAACATAAGTCATATCCTCAAAATAAGAGTCTAAACTTAAACTCTTCTAAATAGGAGTAATTAGATAAATTTTGTGATCTTGGCCGCACAAATCACATCCCAACCCTTTTGCGATCGAAATTAATGTCCAGCCTCCTTCCTGACACTAGCGCCGACATCGCCATCACCTTCAAAGATTCGCATCCAATTGCAGTGCTCAACACTTATTAGCTTTTTAGATTTCAATTTTTTGCTTTTTTGAAATATATTTTGTAAAATTGTTGGTAATTTGATTCTTCCAGTTGTGCTCTTTCATTTGTTTACGTTGATTTTTGCTCCAATTGTTTCCAATTATTTAAATCTAAATTTTCACATCATGCATAATTGTGTTTATCAGTATGCATTGCCATGTATGGCATTATACATTGTCATATGTAGCATTATAGATTATCATGTGTGACATTATGTGGTGCCATGTTTGGCATTATGTCTTTTTTTGATACTATATTGATAGTTAATGTGGCACTACAACGACGATGGTGCATATTGTGATGGTAGTGTCGTTGATAATGGTAGAGATTGGTGATATCAGCGGTGGTGATGGTGAAAAATCAATGATGACAATGGTAGGTTTTGATATATAGCATCGACGCAGCGGGGACAGAGCAGACGGCGGCGGCAGAGATTCAAGTGATAGTGGCAGGGATGCGGCAGCGATGATGGCAGTAGTGGGTGTCGCTGTCAGCACCATTTTGGTGTGGAGTTGGCCGATTTTTTTTAGTTTTGGAGGTGAGAGATGTAGGGATAAGAGAAAATGAAAGCAAAAGACCAGAGGAGCTAGTTTGATCGGGGAAAAAAGAAGCAAATGTGCTTTGCTCTATGTACACGAAAGCAAGGAGAAAGATAAGATTTTTTTTTGGCTTTAGGGAGGAGATAAGGTTAATAAGTCAATTACTCCTATTTAGAAGAGTTTAAGTTTGAACTCCTAATTTGAGGATATTTCATATGTTTTACTCGTAGTTTGGTCCTTCTCCCATATGCTTACCTACAATGTCTAATTGGCTAGCTGGCTACAAGTTAAAAAAATACTCATTTGCACAATTAATTCATTACATATAATTAGACATTCAAGTTAAAAACTACTACACATCTGATACTTACAATGGTTTTCAGCCAAATATTGTAAAATTAATTTCACACACACACATCTGATGCTTACAATGGTTTTCGCACCAAAAAGTAAATCAGTGGATAAAAAATTGTGGCCAAAGTCCAATCTTTGTGAAGAATAAATGATTTTTCTTTTTTACACCAAAGTCTAGAATACATAACTTCTTCTCTAGTGAAAGCAATAGCACTACCAGCATACACCCATTTGTTCAGTAACCATGAGGTTGAACAGATTATATGTCCAAGATGGTCTAAAATTATACTACCTCCGTCCGGTATTAATCTACCCATTTTAATTTTTTTCCATTTTTATGGAGAGTTGACAATGGGATGAAAATGTCCAAATTACCCTTTTCTTTAGCCACTATTACCACTGCCCTCACCAGCCTTCTGCCATTTGCTTCCACAATGGCCATGTTTGGCACTTGGCAGATCCGCCAAGAATTGGCTGTTTGACTATCATTAATGACTTGGACCTGCCAAAGAACAAAAAAAATTGTTTGGTGGATGGCTTTTGAAATTGGCTTCTTAATCTAAACAGCTAAAAATGAAAATGCCAGACCACCCAGCATTTCAGTTTGGCATTTGCGGATCATTCCTTTTTTGCCCTCAGCGACACTCTGGTCTTCTCCATGCACCCTTGTGGATTTTTTTGTTTCTTTTTAAATTATGGGTTCATCTACTTTTTATTGATCTCAATTCTTTAAAATTTAAATTGTTTTTCTTCTCTTTTTTTCTTTTCCTCTCATGAGTGTATTTTAAATCTATTCATTCAACCTATCAAAAACTCATTCAACCAAGAGTTTAAGGTCACGATTGGGACCCAGAAATGTTTGACACTTCAAATTGTGATTCTTATATTGAGTAATTTTTTATTTAATTTTTTGATTTAAAGTTGGTGTAGAGTATCCTTATATATTTATGATACGGCATTAAAAGATCTATAAACTAAAAGGTAGCATGTTTGTTATTTGTAAAATGACAAATGAATAAATATACAAAAAAAATCTACTCATAAAATGTAACGGTGAATTCTCATTTCCTAATCTGTTAAACAAAAATACAAAGTAGTCATTTTTTGGTAGAAAAATAGATATATGTAGAGTATTTGCTTGTATAATGTGTGTGATTAGTCAAAATAAAAAATCATACTCCCTTTGTCTTAATTTAAATGTTTCATTTTACGGTGTTGTGCTGGATTTTTTTTCAAATCATTTTATATGAAAAATTACGTAGAATTAAAAAATAAAAATAACATATTTAAAAACTACATCAAAAAATCCATAAAACTAGTGGTGACATGACTATATTATTTTATCAAATTACTGACGAGAATAGTGAAAGAAAGTGTATGAAGTTTGACGATGTGCATATTAAATAGATAATTTGATTTGAGACAGAGGGAGTGCTAATTAAAATTAAACACAAATTAACAAAAATGAAGGGATGTCCTTTTATGTAATTTCACCCACAAACAGCTAATTATAAACAGCTAAATTTGCCAAACGTTTTTTCTAAACAGCTAACACAAACAGCCGGTCAAACAGCTAACCCAATCAGCCATTCAAACCAGCCAACAGAAACAGCCAACAAGTTCCAAACAAGGCCAATCTCCGTCCAATCTAGCCACCCCCGCAGGCCCCTCTTTACCGCCGCCGCCGCCGGCCCCCCTTTACTGCCACCCCCACCATCGCCAACCCCCTCCGCCATATCCGGTCCCCACCACCACCACCGGACGGCCCCACCACTGCCTTAGTCCCCACCACAATTGTGGTCCGCCCCAATTAGATCTACAAAAACTGAGCACAACTCACCATCTTTGCCCACCCCGAGCACCATCACCGCAACTCATACCATTGCATCAGTCACCGCCATCGCTAGTCCTACCCAACCGCTGCCGCCATTGCCATATCAAGAACAGATCTGTCCAAACCTGGCAAATCTGGAAGACAAATGAGCGGATCTGGAGAAAGAATATGAGGGAAGGAAGGAGACAGAGGAGGAGGAGCAGGTCTTGAGAGAGAAAAAAGAGGCGTGAAAGAATATGGGGGGGGGGAGAGAAGAAGAAGGGAAAGTGAGAAATAGAAGAGCAGAGACAAGGCCAAGAAATGAGGGAGGAGAGAGAGGGTGATAAATGAGTGGGGGTATTTTGGGTAGTTTGTGTATGAAAAATTGAAATGGGAAGATTATCCCCGGACGGAGAAATGAGAAGATTATTTCCGGACGGAGGGAGTAACAATTATAGGGAAATTCCAAAACAGGCCATTCTTTAACTAAAGCATTGTACCAATATGAATAAACACACACTTTTAGCAAACATTTGTGGGGTAAATTAGAATCTACCATTTGAAACATAGGATGAATTTGGTCCAGAAAAAGATTCAAGATATGGATTTTTCATCATTCTCTTTGATATTCAGAAGCATATGAAGCAGAGTGGAATCGGGTCCTTGTTTTACGATTGACTTGAGTAAAATCTCACAAGTTCTATTGTCAGGCGAGAATCCAAGTCTTCTTGACATCTCCTCCACGAGTAATATAGCATCACATTGCTTATTCTTTTTCATTAACCCATAGATCAGTTCATTGTATACCCAACTATCTGGAAAAATGCCATTTTTCTCCATCTCCTTGAGCATATTTTTTGCATCTTCTAGCAAGCCTTCTAGGCAAAGTCCCCTTATCATAGTTTTGTAACTTTTCATATCTGGCCGTAGACCTTTAGAGCAAAGAGAATTGAACAATTCTATTGCACTGCATGATTTTCCATCATTGAATAGTCCATTTATGAGGGTACTATAGCTAACGATATCGGGGATAGGACCTTTAGCTTCCATCATCCTCAGTAAAGAAAGCGCTTGAGGAACACGATTGTTCTTGCAGAAGCCATCCAAAATTATATTGTAGGTGACAAGATTCGGATGTTCTCGATCTTCTACCATCTTGTTAAAAAAGTTCTCCACATCATCACATCTCCCAGCTTGAAATAAGCCCTCCAAGATACAGCTGTAGGTAACGACCGTTGGCTTTAGGCCGATGCTAGGGATTGTTTCAAGTAATTCCATGGCCTTATCTAAACACCCACTCTTGCAATACCCATTTATTAATGTATTGTAAGTCCTAATATCAGGGTTGCATCCCCTGTGTATCATGTTCTTTAAGAGTTCCAAAGCACTGTCCATCTTCCCCTGTATGCAGTACCCATCCATCAAAGCATTGTACGTGACTACATCGGGATCTACACCTTTTTGAATCATTGTATCTATGATTTTTTCAACATGGCTGACCCATCCTTCCTTGCACAACCCATCCACTAATATGCTGTATGTATGGGCATTGAGAGGAATTCCATAATCCATCATTCTTTTCAATAACTCCTTGACCTCTTCCCACCGACTAAATGTACATAGTCCGTGTATTAGGGAACTATAGGTCACAACATTGGGAGGAATGCCCTTTCCCATCATCTTGGCCAACAGGACAAGGGCATCGTCCACCATCTCACCCTTGCACAAAGAGTCGATGACGGTGCTATATGCATATACATTTAGCTTGCAATTTCCTTTCTCGTCAAACAAATCAAGAAACTTAATAGCCTCGCCAGTGCGTCCTGCCTTGCAGAGGCCATCAACTAGTACAATCAACGTGACTTCAGTGAGCTCGCACAACTTCTCATTCAACAACTTCCGGAACAACCAAATACCATCTCGATCCCGACCTTGAAGGAACAACCCTTTGAGTAAGGTGGTGAACAAAATGACATTGGGCACAAGGCCGAGCTTCAAGTGGGTGCCCAAGACAGCAAAACCCAAATCTACTTGGTGCAAATGGATGAGAGAGTTGGCAACAATGCCCAGAGTGTACTGATTTATCCGAAAAACACCAGAAGCACAAATATCTTGAAACAGAGATACAGCATCAGTATAGCTGCCCATCTTCACAACGGCATTCAAGAGATGGTTGAATTGGATGATTGGAGGACGGGGATGAACCCGGACCATGTGACGGTACAATAGAATTGCATCATCAAGCTTCTTGATGCTCTTAAACCTTGATTTACTATGATGCAGGTACGAATCGTGAATATTTGGCATAACAGCTACACCATTGTGGAAGAAAGCAGAGAAATTGAAGGGGAATTTGGGAAGGAAAGAAAGGGTTTTACCCGGCGATAATGCTCTGTTAGCCCAATTCAAATTGCTCCGCCGCACTACTAATCGCATTGCAGCGGGTAAAATTTGATAGAGAGAGAGACTGCATTGGAACAGGGGAGACCGGGAGAGCGCCCGCCAGGCACTAGGGTTGGCGACTGGAATCGCCGATTCGGACTCGAAAACAAGTTTGGGTGCTTAGACCCAAACATGATGGTTTGACTTTTTATCCAATCCTCAATCTGAAGCCCACCTGACGGAGTACCCGACAGGCCGACACGACCGAGTGTTTGACAACTAACATTTCATTTCAATTCTAAAATTTGAATTTTTGAATTTCAAAGAATAAAGCGAGATGCATGAATTTGAATTAAGCTTTGTTATGAATGAGAATAATTTGACTCAAATCTAAATTTAAAATTTTTAAGTTTCCCAAATACTCGTATGAAATTTAGGTCAAATCCGGATTTAAAATCCAAATCCATGTTCCCAAACATACCATAAATTCATTTTGATTCAAATGATATTGGTCTCCAGTGTCATAGGATGATCCGGCTACCTACGGGCTATGATATTCCGTTCAAAAAACAATTGAAGATTTTTATCTTCAAACTCCCCCTCAAACTCCCTTGTCGCCAATAGGGGTTAGGAGCTAGGGGTAGGGGGAGGG